AAAAAAAAAAAAAAAAAAAAAAAAAGAAAAAACGAATAAGAACAAGAAACCCAAGTATGATATTTAAAACATTCTGAATTATCTTCTAATTAGACTGAATTCCAGTGGTGGTTTATGTAATTATTTGTACGGCCTGTTATGATCTCATATGCATTCAATTGTTTATGATGCATTTAGGTCTACCATGCCTGTGGGATCAACAGTACAGACACCCGAATTGTTCAAGGGTTCCCTCAAAGAATATCAGTTGAAAGGACTCCAATGGCTTGTAAACTGTTATGAGCAGGTAACGAGTTGTACTAATTCTCTGTCTCAATATAAAAAAAAAAGGCTTCTCTGATTTATATGATTGACATATTTTTATTTATTAGGGCCTAAATGGTATTCTTGCTGATGAGATGGGTCTGGGAAAGACTATTCAAGCCATGGCATTCCTGGCACATTTAGCCGAGGTAAAATTCGACAAATTTTTTCCACTTGAAGCTGTTTGGCCTTCTTTTTCTTAACTGCTCTGTGCTGTTACAGGAGAAAAATATATGGGGCCCTTTTCTGGTTGTTGCTCCTGCTTCTGTCTTAAATAACTGGGCAGATGAGATAAGTCGTTTTTGCCCTGATTTAAAAACTCTTCCATATTGGGGAGGTCTTCAGGAGCGTACTGTTCTTAGAAAGAACATCAACCCAAAGCGTCTTTATCGAAGGTGTTTTTTTTTTTTTTAACCCCACAAAATGAATCTCCTTTAATGTTATTTACCTTTTTGTTACTGTGATGATTATTCTTACACCTATCGTAAAAGATACTGCTCTGCTCTTTTATTTTTAATTGACGACTTGTTATAATAATATTCAGGGAGGCTGGATTTCACATTCTTATCACCAGTTATCAGCTGCTCGTTTCTGATGAGAAGTACTTCCGGCGTGTAAAGTGGCAATACATGGTACTGGATGAGGCTCAGGCGATTAAAAGTTCCAACAGTATAAGATGGAAAACACTGCTCAGTTTCAACTGTCGAAATCGGTTGCTTCTGACCGGTACTCCAATTCAAAATAACATGGCTGAGCTCTGGGCCCTGCTACATTTTATTATGCCAACTTTATTTGATAGCCATGAACAGTTCAACGAGTGGTTTTCAAAAGGGTATGTATTTTGTGTAAGTTGTTATTTTCTTGAAGCTTCAGTGTTATTCTTTCCTTAATTATCCTTCTCAACTGCTGCAACAGAATTGAGAGTCATGCCGAGCATGGTGGGACGTTGAATGAGCACCAGCTTAATCGATTGGTGAGAACTGGCATTACTTGACTTTTTGTAGCCTTTAATTATGATGTGTAACTTATTTATCAGCCTCTAGATTGCTGATTGCAGTTAGTTGAATTACTTCTCTTTTCTTTCTGTTGACTCTCATCTTCCTATTATTTCAACAGCATGCCATTTTGAAACCTTTCATGCTGAGACGGGTTAAGAAGGACGTGATAACCGAGCTGACAGGAAAAACTGAGATTATGGTGCACTGCAAACTAAGCTCTCGCCAGCAAGCTTTTTATCAAGCTATAAAGAACAAGATATCTCTTGCTGAGTTGTTTGACGGAAACCGCGGACATCTTAATGAGAAAAAAATTCTCAATCTGATGAACATCGTCATCCAGCTGAGGAAGGTAGCATGTTAGTTTAATTATTTGTTTAATAAAAAAATAAATTGGAAAAAAGATATTGAACAATGGCTGAGGATCTCTGTCTCTCTCTCTCTCTCTCTCTCTCTCTTAAAAGTTAAAACACACACACATGCGTTTTGCATGTGTTGTGGTGTAATATTTGGAAGCTGCTTTCGAGTTTATTTTTATGAAGTCCGAAATCTATGTTTTAATGATGATGCCTTTACCCTGGCGCTTCAGGTATGCAATCATCCAGAACTATTTGAGAGAAATGAAGGAAGCTCATATTTCCACTTTGGAGAAATTCCAAATTCTCTTCTTCCACCTCCTTTCGGTGAATTGGAGGACATTTTCTATTCTGGTGGTAGAAATCCTATTACATACGAGGTAATTAGCTGCTCAGTACCTTCAAATTATCTCCATTCGTCAGCATAAGCTGTTTCTTTTGGAATTCCTGTGTGGAAAATTAGTATAGTTGTAACAAAATACTTGTCAATGCAACCGTTACAGATTGGTGTTTTCCGAAAATCTTCACTTGAGTTGCTTTAATCATTTGATTTATTTTTGTATGTTTATGAACTACTAAAGAATTTTTATGTTGAATTAACGTTCACTATGTCTTGTGGATTATATAATTGAGATGATTGTGTTGACTTTGTAATATTACAGTTCTTCTCTGAGCATTTTTTCATTTGAATTTTACTAGATACCGAAACTGGTCTACCAAGAAGTTATCGAGGATTCCAGGTTTCACTATTCAGAAGCTGATCAGAGGTTAAGCAGAGACTCACTGAATAAGTTGTTCAACATATTCTCCCCAGAAAATATTTACAAGTCTTCACTTCAGCAAGACCACATTTTGGATGGTAATTCTGGACAAAGTGGTACATTCGGATTCTCCCGGTTTATTGATTTATCACCATCAGAGGTTTCGTTCTTGGCAAATAGGACTTTTATGGAGAGGGTATTGTTTTTGGTTACAAGGTCTGATCTCCAGTTTACTGATGAAATATTGGATCTTTTGATGGAGAGCAAAGATGATGATATCCAATGTGCTCGTATTGGAAAGGAAAAAGTTAGGGCAATCACACGAATGCTTCTACTGCCAAGCAAGTCCCAGTCAGATTTATTAAGAAATAAGCTCCCAACGGGTCCCACAGATTCTCCATTTGAGGCTCTAATCATGTCTTATCAGGATAGGCTTCTGTCCGATGTCAATCTTTTGCACTCAATATATTCTTTCATCCCAACAACTCGAGCACCTCCAGTAAGTGCTAATCTAGTGTTCGTTATAGCTTTGGCTTTTTTTTCTTTTTGTTATTTTAACTATTTTTCTTTTAAGATGATTTCAGTAACTGCCTCAGATTTGGGATNAAAAAAAAAAAAAAAAAAAAAACATTTTTGAAAACATATTATTCAGACCCTTGAGATTTGATGTGATCTTTGTCCATTTCATACCAAAAAAGAAAATTGAACGCCCCCAGCAGTTCACATGCATAGAACTTAGGGTGTGTGTGTTTATAAATTTATCGAATTCATATTCAAAATTTAACTCAACTTTAACTCAACTTTAACTCAACTCCACTATCGTCAATATTATCAATATAATTAAATAATACCGACCAATCATTCTTACAAAGCACATCAACTTTAATTCACTATTCATCCACTCACATAATTTTAACTAACCATCAATTCATATCATCTCTCTCATACTTTTACATCAGATTAATTTTAATTACTTTATTTAAAATCTTATTTTAATATAAACTCAAAATTCCACTAACAACTAACCATACTAACTTTTTTCAAAATTAACTATGGTTAACCAAAAAAACTCGTTTTGAACAGATATATTTGTATCCAAGCAGGCCCTTAGTTATCCATTCCCTTTTTAATTTGTTTATTTTGAGATATAACTTGCATGTACACTGAATTTCTCTCTGTATTTGGCTATTAGATAAATCTTCACTGTTCCGATAGAAACTTTGCCTACAAGATGACCGAGGAGTGGCATAATCCCTGGCTCAAGAGGTTGTTAGTTGGATTTGCCCGTACATCCGATTGTAATGGCCCGAGAAAGCCAGTCGCTACCCATCATTTAATACAAGAGATTGATGCCGAGTTACCAGTTTCACAACCGGCTCTTCAGCTTACGTATAAGATCTTCGGTTCTTGTCCGCCCATGCAACCGTTTGACCCTGCGAAGATGCTTACGGTTTGCACTCTTATTTATGCATTATTATTTATGAAGTCTATGCTTATGATTTTATTTATTTATTTATTCTTTTGTTCTGTTATTTCAGGACTCAGGGAAGCTTCAAACTCTTGACATACTGCTAAAACGATTACGTGCGGAGAATCACCGTGTACTTCTTTTTGCGCAAATGACGAAAATGTTGAATATCCTCGAGGTATATCTTATCTCGTTTTCATTAATAGTGATCTACATAATGAAAAAAATGTTTTTATTGGCATTAATTTATTTATTCTGGACGGCCAAAATTGAGAAGTTTATTCTTCAAGTCGGTTGTATATGTTGGTAAATGCTCGTAACTGTTTTTACTGTCTGTTGGGACCAATTATTTATAACTTTCTTTGCAGGATTATATGAATTACAGGAAGTATCGTTACCTGAGGCTCGATGGGTCGTCCACAATAATGGATCGTCGGGACATGGTGAAAGATTTCCAGCACCGGTAACTGCTCGTTAAATTATTCGCGATTTTTTTATTTTTATTTTTTTTCCCCTTGGAATCATGTGCCCATTTTTGAAGATTTTTGCCAAATTTTTTTCAGGAGTGATATCTTTGTGTTCTTGTTGAGCACGAGAGCTGGCGGGCTTGGAATCAACTTGACTGCTGCTGACACTGTTATATTTTATGAAAGCGACTGGAATCCAACCTTGGATTTGCAGGCCATGGACAGAGCTCATCGTCTCGGTCAAACTAAAGATGTTAGTTTCTCTCTCTCTCTCTCTCTCTCTCTCTATATATATATATATATATATATATAATTATGACTATATATGTGTGCGTGTGTGTATTTACTTATTTATTTCATTAAAATTAAAATGATAATAACATTAAACAATTCATCTCTCTCTCTCTCTCTCCGTTTTATTGTGTTCTTTTTTGTATAATTTTTTTTTTTTTAAAATCATGTAGGTAACTGTGTACCGATTGATATGTAAAGAGACGGTGGAGGAGAAAATTTTGCAGAGAGCAAGCCAGAAGAACACTGTGCAGCAGCTTGTCATGACTGGCGGACATGTTCAGGGCGATCTTTTGGCTCCGGAAGATGTCGTGTCATTATTGATTGACGATGCTCAGTTGGAACAGAAACTAAAAGAAGTTTCGCAACAGGTGAGGAAAATTGAATTAGACTTTCCCCCCATATTTTGAGTTAATTACAAGAAACTCCTACGGTGTAGCCCGAATTATTGATGTATCCTTCATTCTTGTGTTTACATAAGTTAAACCTTAAGGTGTAGTTAAACCTACCTTAATATTTTATACATTAATTGAATCTAAAAACACCTTGACTTGAAATTATTTGGTTTCTTCTTGTAAACAGGCGAAAGATAGACAGAAAAGAAAAGCCAGTTCGAAGGGCATACGTATTGATGCCGAAGGAGGCGCATCATTGGAGGATTTCGCAAACCCTGAATTACAAGGCGGTAATGAAACCGAGCTTCTTGATAACGAGAAAGCGAAATCGAGCAGCAAAAAGGTGATAATCTCTATTTTGTATTGCTTTAGATTATAAGGCACCGAAGACCCTTTAAAACATATAAGCTAGATGTAGCTTATTTGATTAGCTTATAAGCTTCCTTTGTTCAAATAAACTTGGTTTGGTAGGGTGAGGTTTTTTAAAAAACTCGAGCTTATCTCATAAGCTTCCTTGGGTAGCTTTTTAAATAAGCCCATTGAAATTTTTGTTTCAGCTAATTTTACCACACTTTTATCATATAGTTAGCTTTTTAGTCATAAGTTATAAGTTATCAGCTATAAGCTCGAAAGTCACTTAAAAGCTAGCTAGGTTTACCAAACATAACCTAAGAAACAAATGTTAATGGAATATTGTAATTACGGATGACAAATTACAGTTAAAACCGAGTTTATGCTGCATATTTAGCAAAATCAACGTGAATAATGAAAGTTATCTTGTTACAGAGGAAAACTGCCACCGAAAAGCAAACGCAGCCAAAACCAAAGCCTCAAAAGGGCTCCAAACAGTCAGACCATAACCCAACAATAATGGACTTCGAGCTAGACGAGACTGCTCCAAACGCCGATACCACTACTACAGTACAGCAAAGACCAAAAAGACTAAAAAGACCAACGAAGAGTGTGAACGAAAATATTGAGCCTGCTTTCACAGCCTCTCCTAGCATTCTTCACGGGCCAATGTAGCCACAAAATGAAATCAAAAGGAAAATTTGGAACGTGAAAAATGATGCTCGAATATATTAGCCAATAATGGCTTAAAGCTGTGCTGTGTTGCAAAACCAGAGCTGGAAATTGTATAGTGGTGTTGTACAGAGCTGCTTGATTTATTCTGGCCACTGCACGGCAAAGGGAAATATAGCGTGTGACGAATCAGACTGTATATAGGAGGAGAATAATTTTCCGAGTATCGGACCTCATTTTGACGAACATTCAAGCCGACTTTTTTCGTGTAATTCTGTAGGTGCTTCGAGCAGGAAACTGTGTTACTGATGATGCTTTTTTTTTTTTTTGNAAATTACTGAAATTTTGAGCCGGGCAAATATCGAATTGATGAAATTCCAGTACATGGTGTGTTTGTATACAAAAAAAAAAACCCAATCTACACTTAATTCATATTCAAAATCTAACTCAATTTTAACTTATCTCCTCTATTCTGAACATTATTAATATAATTAGATAATATCAATTATTCTTGCACAGTACTATCAACTTTAATTTACTATTCATTCATTCACACAGTTTTAACTAACTATCACTTCAAATTATCTCTCTTAGTTTTACATCAAATTAATTTTAATTATTATTTTAATATAAAATTAAATTTACACTAACCACTAACTATATTACTTTTTTTAAAATTAATTATAATTAACCAAAAAAACTCATTTTGAGCTGAACAAATACGTGGAAAAGCCAACTTAGCTCATATATTAGGCTTAACTCATTTGCAGCCATAAAATTCTACAAGCATCGAGTTTTCCATCTTAATTTATAACATTTGCAACATCTAATATAGTACTATTATAAATTTTACCCTTCATTTATACAATCCTTATTTTTTTTTTTCAATTAATGTAGAATTCGTATTGCAATTATCGGAAACACACACAAATGTTCACAAGTATAATTAACAACTTGAAATGATTTTTTTGTTTTCATTTTTATCCCTGTAATAGTGAAGTTCTTTAAATGTTTTCCCAATACAAATTTCGAATATAATACAACCATATGAAATGAATTTGTTTTTCTTCAATCTTATCCTTGTAATAATGAAATTTTGTACATTCCTCAAAAGCCAAAACAAATTTAGGAAATGGTGCACCTAATTTTAACGTAGGCAGCTCCACACCGGATCAAACGGCGTCGAAGAAAAATTTTGAAGTTAGGGCTTCAAAAGCTCCAAAAACCCTCCATTTTTCTACTTCCACAGCATATGCTGTTTGCGTAATGCTGATGCTATCTCCTGCAAACTGCTAGCTCGTGTGTGTGTGTGTACTGCGTGGTTCTCTGGTTTTACCATGGCGAACGATGCGGATATGAGCGGGTGGACGGATCTTTTGCACTCCTCCTCGAAGCTTATCGAGCAAGCCGCCCCTTCGGCTCAATTCCCGCCGCTTCAGGTGTCGGAATTTCTCATTGGAGATAGTTCGTTAATGGGTCTTTGATTTCTGAAGGTAATGAGTCGTTTTTCTCACTTTCCCTTTTAATTTTTGTTCGAACAGAGGAATTTGGACCAGTTGGAGGCCCTGTCGAAGAAGCTTAAAGCGAAAACCCTGCGAACCGAAGCTCCTTCTCAATCTATTGCGGCTACTAGGTGATTGTCCTCGTTACCTGTAGCTTGAGTGCAAGTGTGTCAATATTGGGTTGCTTCATTTTTGTTTCTTTACTGGTTATTTTGCATTTTGAACGTTTGTTTGGAGAATGTGTTGAGAGTTGAGTTTTTTCGTAGTAAGGGGAGGGGGATAAAGTAAGCAACAAGGAGATTGCTTAGCAGAATCTATGATTTGCTGGAAATTTTATGTAAAATTTTCTGTCTTTTTTCTTACTTATGTAATCAATCGGCAGGCTATTAGCACGAGAAGGGTTGAATGCTGAACAACTTGCTCGCGATCTCAAATCCTTTGAATTGAAGGTTACATGTTCTTTTGCTGCTCTAGCACTTCCTCTATAGTCCCATTATGAATCAATGTTCCTTCCCGCAGTTTATAATTTGGCTAATGAAAATTTCCAAAGAATGTAGCTTTTGAAAGTTTCGTGCATCATAATGAGGATCTCACTTAGAGATTTATGAAGATTTGTAGTTGTTATGATCTGAAAATTGGTGTCATTATTTTGTTCTCTAACTTCTATACTGGAAAGTTGTTGATATGCTATCAACTTTACTTTATTGATCTTGATATCATATACTTCTGATATCTGTTGGTGTTTTGATTTTTGCATTGGTTTTTCATTTACTCATAAAAGACGACGTTCGAAGATGTTTTTCCTGCTGAAGCAACGACGGTCGAGGAGTATCTTCAACAGGTAGTTTCATCCATTAAGAGTAGCAAGCATGCTAAACGCTGTGATAAAGCATGGAAACGTTTAAGATTTTTTGTAGAATTTTTTTATAATTGGGTATATGTGATTGCAACAACTCAGGTTCATGAAATGACAATGCTCTCAGCAGTGCAGGAAGCTCAGAAAGATAATATTAGAAGTTTCAATAATTATATGATGTCTGTGTTGGAGGTGAATATGTGCAGTATGATTTTTTTTTTTTTTTTTTTTTTNTGGTACTTTGGATTAGGTGTGTTTTACTAAATTGTCACATATCTTGCTCCATGTGTACCATTATTGGCAGGAGGATTGGCATAAGGAAAAAAGGGATTTTCTTCAGAGCATGAGCCGAATTTCAACACTACCTAGAACTAATATTCACGATTCTACCAGTGGGGTGAGTCGCCAGGGTCAAATTGTGCCAAGGACTTCCACTCTTGAGGTTTCATCTGGTCCATCTGGTATGGAGTCTGCTCTTGTGGCTAATAAACCTGTGATTGAGAAGAAGGCGGCTGCATACGCTGAAGTTGTGAAAAGTCTTAACAGTGCAAGACAGCATGGCTATGAGTTCAAAGTAAGAGGTTAAGCTGTAATGCCATTTTATTAAATTATGTCAAGTATATAATAATTCATCAATGAGTGTGCTGCTTATTTGACTTCTTTTATATTTACTTATACATCGGGAACTATGTTTATTTTGAGCTGTTCATTTTTTATATGCTATAGGAAGGACATGGCTTCATGCATAATTGTATATTACTTGATGCATAATTGTATCCTGCTGAACTGACTATTTAATTTTCTCAGCCAGCTGCTGCTTTCAGAAGCGCGTACGAAAGTTTGAAACTCGATTCTTCTGGTACAAAATCCGTTAGCATGATTAAAATATGGCACCTGATTATGGTAAATTTCAAGTGAATCTGATCACCTTTTCCATATTTCTTGTGTGTGTAATCAGTATATATTTCTTAATGAGGAAAATTGACAGTGTTATGTCATGCATTAAATGCAGTCATTAATGGGTGAGGACCCGAGTGTGAGTGCGCCACGGAATATCTCAAAAAGAATGTCCTTAGTAATGGGGGCCCGGCGTCATCTGGAATGGGGTCATGAGAAGTATGTGATGGATATGATTCAGAGTCATCCTGCACAGGTAAATTCTCTCTTTCTTTCCTTATTTCTTCATGTTCCTCTTTTCTTTACTTTACATTTACCAACGTTGCAACCATTTCCTCATATATATGGGGTTTGTACTAAATAACGATCCAATGTAATCAATAACAGCTTGAATGCTTTCTTTGCTGCTTTTTAGTGTCCGCTTTCTATTCATACTATGTAAATGTACGCCTTATCATTGTCTGAGAAGTATAGAGTTGTTCACGTTCATCTGTTGATGTGATGGTAGGCTGCTCTTGGTGGGGCTGTTGGAAATTTGCAGAGGATACGTGCCTACCTCCGGGTTTGTCTGAACTTATATAATACATGCAAGGTTAAAAGCATAGGAAACATCGTTTGATCAGACTATTTTGACATTGCTGTTTGCATTTGTTTTGCAGATGCGTTTAAGGGATTATGGAGTTCTTGATTTTGATGCAGGCGATGTTCGCCGACAGCCTCCTATAGATACCACTTGGCAACAGGTTGAAATTACTGTTCCAGTTGTGTCAAATTTTGTTAATGTGCAAATTGTTAGTAGACAACTACTCTACCATCATCTGGCCGATTTGCTAAATATATTTTCACTGCTTGTTCTTAAGGACTTCTGTTACCCTTCCTCATGTCTGTTTCCATTTTCCAATTATTTTAATTTGTAACCTTTTAGTACACTAACGTCAATTCGATAGTAATGAGTTTAGTAAACAAGTTAAAAAACTAGATCAAGAAACAATTCATGCATATACTTTCTGGCGCTACATAAAATGATCCATTTTTACTATGTCAGGCCTTGAAAGTTTAAGAAATAGAAGCTTACCTAGTTACCTGTAGCTAAGTCATGCAGTGCAATCAGCTACTTTTAACATAATGCATTACACATAATAAATACTTTTCTTTAACTATTTTCTTTGCCATGTTACAACTTTTGTCATGTTACAACAGATATATTTTTGCCTGCGGACTGGATACTATGATGATGCTCTAGGAGTTGCCCGGACATCTAGGGCCTCACAGCAATACAGTACTCTGGTATTTTGTNTCATTCGTTGATCACTTAAATCACCACTGCCTTTTTCTTCTTCTTCTTCTTCCAAAATACTCATCATCTTCTTCTCGTTCTAGCTGTCTGAGTGGATAACCACTGGAGGCATGGTATCAACCGAGACTTCAGCTGCCGCCTCAGAAGAATGCGAGAAAATACTCCGCATGGTTGACCGGTTAGGCCGCCCTTCATATGACAAGAAAAAAGTACTCCTTCATGCCATTATATCCGGTTCCAGGAGGTTAATAGACCGATTACTCAGAGAATTACCCACCATCTTCAACACGATCGAGGATTTCCTATGGTTCATGCTGTCTGCCATACGTGAGACCCCAAGTGGGCCCCCTTCCTCGGTTGTGCTCAGCGGCTCATCCCCCTACACCTTGGAAGATTTGCAGGCATACCTAAATAAATTCGAGCCGTCATATTACACAAAAAACGGAAAGGACCCTTTGGTCTACCCTTACGTTTTGTTTCTAAGCATTCAGCTGCTTCCAGCTGTTCTCCATTTGTCAAAAGATATGGGAGACGACGGGTATGGTGTAGATTCCGTGCATATAGCCATTGTATTGGCTGACTATGGAGTCCTTCCGGAAGGTTCTGGGCCAGAACTAAAGCTGGGGACAATGGATGCTTTGGCCGAGGCTTCCAGCATAATCAGGCAGTATGGGGCAGCTTATTTACGGCATGGGGACTTGTTAATGGCGCTCGAGTACTATGTGCAGGCAGCAGCTGCTGCTGGTGGAGGGCTGCTCTCATGGATCGGGAGAGGTAGTGTGGATCAGCAGAGGAGGAGGACTTTGATGCTGAAACAGCTTCTCACGGAGATTGTGTTGCGTGACGATGGCATTTACCTCTTGTTAGGGTCGAGGGGAACTGGGGAAGAGGGGCAGTTGGCGAAATTTTTGACTGATTGGAAGACGAGGCATCAGTTTCTAGTCGAAGCTGCTCGGCATTGTCAGGATGCGGGTTTGTATGATAAGGTATCTCTCTCTTGTAGCCTTTCGGACTCGTGTTTTACATTTGTTATACGAAGGAGTTGCTCTTGGAATATATGTTATCATGCTTCATATGATGATTTTGCTTGTGCCAAGGACAAGTTTCTCAATGACTTCTGGTGAAGACTTTGGAACTTATGTTGTCCGCAGATTGTTTCTTTTTAATTGTGTTCAATTTTTTTCTCAGAATTATTGATCTTAATTTGATTTCTGCATTGACAAACTCTACCAACTATTCTCTTTTAACGAGCCCTCTCCCTCTATATTTTTGCGGAAGTTTCTTTCAGATATTCAGAATATACAATTGATATGCATTGACCCGTTTGTAATGTTTGCATGACCTTACCCCAAATGAAGTCCATAGAAATTCAGAAAAGAATTGGGGCCTTTTCGGCTGCACTGGACACGATAAACAAGTGTTTGTCTGAAGCAATTTGTTCACTGTCACGAGGTAGGCTTGATGGAGAAACCAGGATTGCTGGCCTTATACACTCCGGAAATGAGATCTTAGAGACATTCAAATACTATCCTGAAATCAGGTTTCGATGTCTTTTCTTTGTTTACTTTCAGAATATTATCACTTTTTGTACTTTTGGATTTTCCTAATCATCATTATTTTCCGTACAGTCCTCAAGAGAGAGCAAATGTGATGGAGCAACAAACTGTGCTGAGGCAGCTCGAGGCAATCTTAGCCATCCATAGACTCGCTACTTCCGGAAGCCAATTGGATGCACTGCGGGAGATTGCTAGACTACCATTCCTTCCGCTGGACCCTCGTTCACCGGATATAACCACTACAGATGTGTTCAATAATTTATCGCCACACGTCGAGTCGTGTGTCCCGAGCCTTCTCAAGGATGCGCTTCAGTGCTTGGATAACGTCACTGACACAGATGGGTCTCTGCGGGCCCTGAGAGCAAAGGTAAAAGCCCGTTTTTTCTTTCTAATTATTTTGCTGATCATTTTTTTTTTTATAAACAAACATTAAATTGCAAACGGACCACTTACCTTAATCCTTATTATGGTGGTTAGAAAGGCGAAAGCTAAAATAATCTGAACTTCATTGTAAAAGTTGAAACTTCTGGCGTGGGTCATAACCCACAGTAATTCGAAAGACAGTTGAGTGTTTCAACTGTCTTTTCGCTTAAACACTCAACTTGTCTTTCGAATTACTATGACCCATGACAGAAGTTTCAACTACAATGAAGCTAAACTATAATCTGAACTTCATTGTAATGTAGAAACTTCTGTCTTGGGCATAACAGTAGATTCGAAAAGCAAATGGGTTATGTATTATGGTTCTTTTCTCGAGTTATCGACAATAGTTGAACGAGTATTGGTGGTATTTGCAGATTGCGAACTTCCTCGCCAACAACTTAAACAGGAACTGGCCGCGTGATTTGTACGAGAAGGTTGCTCGAAGCTTGTGACCCTCGTTAGAGTTTTTTGTACCCAAGATCATGAGGATTGTTGCTTATTTAACTATTTTGCCAGAAAACCACCCGTGTTTAAAAGGGTACTGTTGCAGATGACAATGTACTATTTTTTTTTTTTTTTTTTTTTTTTTTTTTTTTTTTTTTTTTTTTTTTTATAAGAGGGCAAACGAAACATTGAAATATCATGAGAATAATACATAAACATGAGTGTATACATAAAAATCCTAAAAGAAGGCAANTTGAACTTGTGAAAAAAAAAAAAAGAAGAAGAAACAGCAACAGATCTTTGTGTAGAAAAAATCGGATCGAAAATTTCCCACACTAAACAACCGAATCACATTGCATTGAATTGAAAATTTTGCACACTAAACGAATGAACCACATTGCATTGGAAATGCACGGTTTGACTCAATTTTGCCTCGTTTTTCACACATTTGTGTTTAATCTGGTGCAGTTTTTTGTTGCACCAAATCGATCCGAAAAAAAAATTTAAAAATGGAACTTGCTAAAAATTATAATCGAGCCGCACCGAAATTGAAACAAAGGTGAGCTAAAAATTTCTAATACTAAATAAACTAAAGCAAACTACACGATCGATTTTGCTCACCCTTATCCTTGTCATTTGTTTCTCTAAACAAATTATACCAAGCCCAAAACCAACAGCCCACTAACTTTCCTTCAGAGAAACGAGTCCAGCCCATTAATACACACACTGACCAACGATTTTCGTGGATTTCTCCTACTCTTCTTTCGCTCCCGATTCCCGACAACGTTTTTCCCGCCGTTGTCACTGCTCTCCTCTTTCCGACCGCCACGTCGCCCACTTATCAGCTAAGGGGAGGTAAGCCCTAGTTCGCAGCCGCCAACAGAGGTACAGGTTGCGTCGAAGGTGTACGAGATCCGGCCGGCAACGGGTGTTCTCGCCGGAGGCTGGAGCTCGCCGCCCTCCTTACGAGCGGTTTCCGTAGCTTCAAATCGCGGCGAGCGAGGCCTCCACAGTGGCATAGGTCGGTCGGGGTTGGTTGACAACCAATTTTTAACAAATTCGTTGCTTCAAATTTGTGTATAAATTGTTAATTTGATTCAGAATTATTGAGCTTGTGTGTCAAATTTGTTTCATTGTGATAAAATTAATTGTTTCCGTGAATGAAATGTGATAGTTGCTGTTCCCAAGATATTAATTTGACATGTCATCCAAAAGTAAATCAATGGAAGCTGAGGCCACTGGAAGCCTTTGTGAAGGCAAGTACGATTCTGATAGCAATTCCGAGGGCTTTGTTGATGACACAGTCGATGATGAATGTTGCTATGACTCTGAAAACATACCCAATTTACAATTCAGGTTTAAGTCTCATAACAAAAGCGTGTTTTTTTTGTGTGCGTGCGCGTGTGTGTGTGTGTGTATTTTTCCTTTTGGGTTAGAGATGCACTGAGACTAACAACAGAACTGACATATACTGAAAGGAAAGACGTGTCAAAGGCGCGATGGATAGAAGAGATGGGAATGGCTGAGTTGGTAGAGAAAAGAGGTAAAATGTGGACCACAACTGGGATAGTTCGTGATGGAAAGACGTACTGTATGATTGAAGAAACATTGTACGTTGTACAAATTCTTACCGTTGTGTTTTATCGGTGCAAAAATACTTAAAAAAATTCTCATGAGGACTTGTTATTTTCTGAGTAATTAGTTTGTACCAACTGTAATATGTTAAATAGCCGGAAGTTCGTTTTGAGGAAGCAAGCTACTATACGGACAACAATGTTTAAGATTTATTCTGCAGGTTTTTGGCAGAGATTGGTGCATTAGATATCATGAACAGTGAAGATGAGCCCATTTCTCTAAGCAATATGTATGAGAAGATAGCAGGGGACATGAACAAGAACAGATGCTCTTGGGAGTCTTTTGAAGCCTACCGGCACTTGAAGCTTCTAGGTTACGTGGTGCGCCGTCATGCTGTCCCTTGGTGCATGAAGAATGTAAAATTACAAGATGGGGCTCGAGAAAGTACAACGAAACTCGATAACATTCAAGATGAGGGACCAGTAGACAACCAGGATATCACGAATATGTTTGATAAGTTGCATTTCTATGAAACAGGACCAATATTTGACGTTTATCCTCCTAATAGCAAGTTTAGAAAATCCTCTCCAGGAAATCCATCTTTCGTGCTCTGCCTTACAGGGTAATTGATATCACCTCTTTCCTTAATACAAGTTTATGTATTAATTTTTCCTTCCGAATCAGGGTTGGACCATGTGACTTTGGCAGATAATGGCCTAGTACTATATCTGGATTTTGGTATGTGGCTAACTTTTATCATAAAGCTGTTTTGTAATCCTCGGCTTTCATCTCTTTCATGGAAGACATTAATTGAGATGCACTGCACGTAAAAACGGTAAAAATAAAATACACAGCAGCACTTTAGAATTAGCTTTTCTTATCTTGCATGTAGATTGAACTGAGCAAGAGATTTTATATACATTTCATAACCAGCGGCACATATATTTCTTAAGTTCATTTTGCTTTTCTCTATCTTTATGGTCACCCTTCAAATATTCGGTTGAATGATGTAACTGCTTATATTTAGACATACACTCACACAATGGATGCACTCTCATGATAACTGCTTATATTTAGACACATATATTTCTTAAGTTCATTTTGCTTTTCTCTATCTTTACGGTCACCCTTCAAATATTCGGTTGAATGATGTAACTGCTTATATTTAGACATACACTCACACAATGGATGCACTCTCATGATAAGTTGGTATTTTTTTTTTATTGTTATTATTATTATTATTGCAGGGACCATCCACCATCCAAACGAGAAATCGAAGAACTTGAGGCACGTTGCAATGGAATTCCCCTGAAGTTCTGTGTTGTTGAGCACGGACGGGTTAGTTTCATGTCCTTCACCAAAGTCGTGCTACCTGTCCTCCCATGATGTTTCTTTCAGACAGCTCGAATGTTGCCCTTGCGGCCTTGCCTGTAGCAACTCTTTCTTTTGGGAAAATAATATGAAAAAGCTACTGTTATGAATTCTTATTGACAACTGACAAGGAAAACCATCATATTTTCTATAATTAAATAGATTTATTACTGGTACAGGCTGCTGCAAATAGCCAAAGCTAAACTATACATCCCATGAGAGCACCAATCATTTATTTAGGTACGTAAACTACACATATCACAACCTTATAAAGTTAAATCTCCTGAATAAATTATACTTTTATCTCAAGGTAAAAGGCATATCAATCAATTGTCAATTATTTATTCTTTAACACCTCAATTATTGCACATTGTAAACAGCATTTTCCTATGCAAATCACCAATATCTTAAACGTTGTATTGTACACCCAGTAAGTACACTACCAAATTCTCAAAACCCTCTCAAATTTCCCCTTCTTCTGCTTGCCTGCTGATATGAGCAATAAACGAGTCCATTTCGAGCCTCGACGACCCACCCTCATTCGCCGCTTCCCGAACCATCTTCCCGACCTCCTCCGCTCTCCTCCTCACCCTCTCCCCTTCCCCAGGCCCCATCAACCTCCTCACTGCATCCTCCACAGCCTCGGCCCGTACCAGCCCAGCCTGTCCGGCCCACTCCATGACCACAATCCCCATCCCCAAAACCCTCACCAACAGCGCCGTGTTCGCGGGCTGGTCCGAATGCATGGGCCACGCGGCCACGGGCACTCCCGCCACGATGCTCTCGACGCACGAGTTCCACCCGCAGTGGCTCACGAACCCGCCCACCGCCCCGTGGGCCAGTATCCAGGGTTGCGGGGCCCACCCCCTCATCACCATCCCCCTTCCTTCAACCCTCTCCTCGAAACCCTCCGGCGGGCTGGGCCTCCGGCCCGTCCCGCCAAACACGTCGCACGTGTCGGCGTCCCTGACGACCCACAAGAACTTAGCCCCGCTCCTCTCGAGCCCGACCGCAATCTCCCCCAACTGCTCGTCGGTTAGGGAAACCGTGGTGCCGAACGAGACGTACACGACCGACTTGGGCTCGTGCCGGTCGAGCCACCTCAGGCACTCGTTTCGCTCTTCGGCTTCGTCTTCGGCCCGAGGCGAAAGCACGGCCGGGAGCATGGGCCCCACGGCCCACGACTTCCTCTTCTTCGCCTTACCCGAGATTTCCTCGTGCTCGAGTATGTCGAGGTAGGGCGCCTCGAGTAGCCGGCACGTGTTGTAGATGTCTCCCGACCGGCGGTCAAGGTGGTCCGTCTGGAGGGACACGAAGCGGTTAACCTCCTCTGGCATGCACCGTTCGAATAAAGGGAGCTCCTTTGGGTACTCGACCGAGACGGGTTTGGCGAGGCTCGGCCAGAGGAACGAGATATGGGATGCCGCGCTTATGCAGTTGAAAATGTATGACTCGGCGTTGGGGACCGAGTCGACGTCTTGGACGACGAAAGCCATCATGGGGTCGTGGATTACGACGACGCGTTTGAATTTCTTGGACAAGTCGAGCAAGAAGGCAGAGAAGGGTTCGCGGAGAGTTAGCGAGGCGTACCAAGCGGGTAGGAGTTGGGTGGGGAACTTGTAGGGCAAGTCAGGGTTGGGTGGTGGGGAGTCGACGTGTGGAGTAGGGATGTCGTGGAAGTGGATTTTTGGGAGGTCGAGGGGGTTGAGCCCGTTGGCTCGGGAACGCGCTTGGCGGGAAAAGACGGGTGGGGCAACGTAGTAGACAGGGATGCCGTAGGAGGAGACGAGGCACGAGAGTTGGAGGAGTTGGTTGAGGTGGCCTTGGGCCGGGAAAGGAACAGTGATGGCGGCGACGTGGTGGTGGTCGAGCGAGGCGTGGTGGTTCGTGGTGGTGGTGGTGGTGGAGGGTTGGGTTTGGTTTTGAGGGTTGGTTATGAGGGTGGCCATGAGGGAGGTGTTTGAGGTGTGTGTAGTATCAAGTATATGAGGTATGGAGGGTTATTTCATCTTTGTGGAGTGGAGAAAGAAGATACATGGAGGGTGTGTGTGAAATTGACAAATTTGCACTCAAGATCTTCTGTAGTGTGTTATATAGAGGGGTGTATGTGTGTCAAATTTCCAGATTTGCACACATCTTGGTGATCTTTATATAGTGTCAGTGTGGAATTTGGGTGTCCATATATATATATAGCTATATAAAATAACAAAAAACTTGAGGATTACCTTCGTTTATGGCAAAAATGACAAAGAAAGCTTGTGCTAGTCAATCATGCATTAGGTAAGTAAACAGAAGTACTTATTTCAATAAAATATGTATGCTTTTAAACAGAAATATTNAATTCAAAGAGATAAAAAGACAATTTGTATAAAATTCAAAGAGATAAAAAGACAATTTGTATATATATGATTGTTTTATCGCCTTGATGTGACAATTTGTATATATATGATTGTTTTATCGCCTTGAAGTTGGTATCACCTTTGCCATAAAATAATAGAGGTGTGGGCATAGGTAGAAGAAAAATACAACTTATTAATAATAAAATATTTATTTGTTGCAAGTGTTTTGCTACATCTTTGCATCTTACTGTCTTGTTGTTTATGCAAAAGTCATCTTCTCAATTATTTTGTAAATCTTCTGTCTTTGAGAATCACAAAAAATATATGTGGGGGTTAAGTGGGGCTAAGCTTCTAGAAAAACACGAGGAATTTGTAATTTGTTAATCAGGATTTCAGGACTAGACTATAGAAAGAACATTATAAAAATCACCATATACAAGATGTTAATAATATCAAATGATGAGTCACTAATAAAAAATAGTGAAATTTCAGCAAGAAAGATTCCAGTATAAAATAATCTAAAATTCAATGAACAAAAGAAAAATATTATGTTCATGTGCCAATGCCAGAAGCTTTTATATGTTCCCATAATATTTTTCCATGTGCAAAAGATAAGATACATGTGCGAATGCTAGAAGCTTTGTAATTTTAAGAATTTGTGTCTTACAATTAAACTGTTGCCAACTCCAACTACATAACCACCGGTTCTAGGCCCAACCCAGCGTGTCATGGATTTACAAATCTTCGAATTTGAATCGGTCCGAATGTTGGCAATTTATGTTTATGAACAGTTGGGTTTAAGTTCGGGTTCAGTTCGGTTCCAGCAATTTTGAGTCGAGTTTGATGGGTCCATCATACTTAAAAATAATTAAAGAAAAAAAAGAATAAAATTCCTATCCAGGTTTTCAAATTCAAATATTAAAATCTTCCGATCAGAGGGAACCCGTTACCCGACGGGTTTTCCGGGTCATTTCTATCTTGATGATCAGAACCCAAGTCAATAGGTCGGGTCTACACGTCAACGGGCCCAACCCGCCGTGCAGGTAAGAGAAAAGAGGAAGTCAAGTACAAATCGCTTTTGAATCATCTCTCATCATGTGCTCAAATTTTGCATTTTCCAGTCACACAATTAAAGAACCTTCTTTGTAACAACTCACACTCACCAAACATAGAAAAAAAAGTCTATAAAAAAAACACTAAAATCTCTCATTTGTAAAACAAAATAAAAATAAATAAAATAAGAAAAAAGAAAACTTCCAAATTCCAATGGCCATCAACAACGGCAATCACGGCGAGAAACCACCGATAGCGGTGGTTGTGGTCCCTCTACCAGCTCAAGGCCACCTCAACCAACTCCTCCACCTCTCCCGCCGCCTCGCCTCCGCCTCCGCCGCCGCCGGCAACCTCTCCGTCCACTACGTCGCCGGCGCCGCCCACATCCGCCAGGCGAAGCTCCGAGCCCTCGGCCCGGACCCGAACCCGTCCCCTGTTCCAAACATCGACTTCCACGAACTCCCGGTCCCACCCTTCAACAACCCGGAACCCGACCCGCACGCGCCGACCAAATTCCCCTCCCAACTAATCCCGTCTTTCCACGCAGCCCTCGACCTCCGGGCCCCAATCCTCGCCTTTGTAACCGAACTTTCGGCCCGACACAAAAGGGTCGTCGTCATATACGACTCTCTAATGACTTACGTCGTGCAGGACGTTGACTCTGTTCCCAACGTCGAGTCGTACTGTTTCTGGAGCGTGTCGGCCTTTTGCCTGCAATTCTCCAGATGGGACGCCGACGGACGGCCCGACTTGCCGGAAAACGAGAAAGAAACCGAGATTCTCTTCAGAGACCTTCCGGGCCTCGACAATTTATTCCCCCCTGAATTTGCCCTGTTTCGAAAAATGCAGCGGTCTTCCCGGAAGACCTTCTTGGGAGATATTTATAACTCGAGCCGGGTAATCGAGGGCCCGTATCTCGAATACCTCGCAAAAGGAGTCGAAAAGCAATGGGCCGTCGGCCCATTTAATCCAGTCGGGATAGTTCATAATCCCGAATCAAGAATCAAGAACGAATGCCTCGATTGGCTCGATCAACAATCCCCGGACAGCTCGGTTATATTCGTGTCGTTCGGGACTACGACTTCCATTTCCGACGAGCAGATAAATGAGCTGGCAATCGGGCTCGAGAAAAGCGGGCAGAAATTCATCTGGGCCTTGAGGGAAGCGGACAAAGGCGACATCTTTACGGGAGGAGGAGAACGGGCCCAGCGAAGGCCCGTTCTCCCAAACGGGTTTGAGGAGAGAGTGAAGGGCCGGGGCCTCATTGTTCGAGAGTGGGCCCCACAGCTCAAAATCCTCGGGCACCGTGCAACGGGCGGTTTTATGAGCCATTGTGGTTGGAATTCGCATGGAGAGCATGAGCAATGGAGTGCCGATTGCGGCATGGCCCATGCATTCGGACCAGCCGGCAAACGCGGTGTTGGTGACTCGGGTTTTGAAAATCGGGCTTCGGGTTAAGGATGATGATGCGGGCCCCACCATGGAAAACGAGGTCGTGAGGGCTTGTGTTGTGGAGAAGGTTGTGAGGAGATTGATGGCTTCTGAGGAAGGGGGTGAGATTAGGAAAAGGGCTCGAGAGTTGGGAGTTGCTGTTAGGGATTGTGTGAAAGAAGGTGGGGTCAGTAGTAAGGAAATGGATTCCTTTGTTAGTCACATTACTAGATGAGTTTTAATTTAATCTGGTTTGCTTTCATGTATTCTGTATTCTTGTATTAGTAGCAAGGAAATGTATTTTGTGTTTTTTCTCCTTTGTGTATTTTCGGAGCCATTTCTGATCAGTTGAAGTTTACAATAAGATAAGAAATGATGATATTATATTCTATGAGCTATGTGTTGAATTAAATTAAGATAAGAACTATGATACTTATTCGAAATACAGTTGGTTTGTTAGTTAGGGTCATTCTATTTAACGTTTTGTACTTGGTTCATACCTACATAACAATAGATACTCATTCAATTGATGTCAAGTGTCATTTTTCATAATTAATTAAATAAAAATTCTAAAAAATATTGTTTGTAAATCGTAAAATGCCTTTACTTAAAAAGTTCAATGAAATAACATTCTAAACATTAATCAATTTACTTAAAAGGTATTTGACTATTCATATTTTAATATTGAACCTAAATAATTATATATCTCAAATAAACCATAAAATCTTCCTAAATTCCATTTTAATTTATCTAACTCATTTTTTTTCTCCATGCCGATGACTACACTTGTACGGCGAATACAAGATTTTGTCGGATTTATGGTCTGGAAATCTGGCACCAATACATGGAATTGATAGGAGTTTCGGTGATGGTTCCCAATCAGGTGACCGAAATCGAGATCTCCTTTAGATTTTTATGTTCTTGGTCGGATGTAATTGACAACTCCTCTTTCCAATGTCGGAGTCACATACGGAAATGACCCATATGGACCGGGTGGTCCATCTATCGGCAGTGTCTTTATGGGTGTTTGGAAAGATAAAAATGGAGGTGTCGGTGGTGTGGGCCGTGGTGGCCGTAGTGGCGGATGAAATAACAAAGGCGGCGGTTGGGATCGTGGGAGGAGAAGAGAGGCTTTGTAACCCTTTTCAAGAAGATGCCGATGCAGAACCAACATTAGGAGCAGGAGAAAAATGTTGTGAATATATAATAATTTGAAGAACAAGAACACTTTAATTGTTAAATTATATGATAAATGTTAAAGTTGTGATGATATGTTTTTGTATTTAAGGATTGTTATACAAATAAGATAAATATATGGCTCTTCAAAATAAATACAATTATCATTTTATAATTTATTAATTTATTCAAATACAAAATGTGTTGACCCGACTAGGGTTGCAAACAAATTAAATTTTTTTGATTCGATACGGTATTCGCGATTCGAATTCGAAATATCCGAATTCGAATTCGAATTCGAATACGAATGATATTTATATCCGAATGTTAAAACGAATTCGAATTCGAATTTGTGTATATTCGATTCGAAATTATCGAATATTCGATTCGTTAAGGATATTTATATCAATTTTATAAATTATATATAGTATAACATATTTTTATACTATATATTAATTATATTGCTAATATATTTATTACATAAAACTATCAAAAACTTGTGATGCCCTAATTCATATCCCGCCTCCTTCCCTGTTCCCTACCCTCTCCTCTTCATTCTTCACCTCCGCCAGTCCTCTGCTAAGAGAAGAAGTTTACCACCGGTGACCTCCGCCAGTTCGCGCTCCTCAGTTTACCGCCAGTCGTCGTCCGCGCTCCTCAGTTAATCGCCGGTCTTCGTCTGCGATCCTCAGGTAGTCTCCTTCTTGAAATTTCTAGATGGATTTGTGTCTGTTAAATTTTTACTAGTGTAATTTTATGGAGATTGAAGATCGATTCATCCATTTGTGATTAATTTGTTGTTTAACTCGTTTCGGTTGTGTCTGATGATTTGATCTGGATCGAGTTGTTGGCGATGGCATGATTTTGGTTTAGTAACTGTTTGATCTGTCGTATTTGTGTGAATTTTATGTGGTGATGGTTCAAATGCTCGAGTTCTGTTAGATCCGTAGATTTATTTGTTGTTTTTTGATTGATTCGAGTTTTACCAGAATTTTTTTATGATTGTCTGGTGTATAGATCATTACATGAAGCTGGGATTTGTTGAATGTGTTAGACGGTTGGAGCAGATTTAGTGATTTCATTGATAAAATCTTGGTGGACCTCTTTGGGTAATTTGATTTCTTATTTTCGAAAAGAAAATGTTGCAGACTTGCAGGCATTAAAAAGTTAAGCCAGATGATCATTATGTGCTTAAATATCTCGAAATTATGTCATAGTTTGTAAATGATCCTAACATTATTAGATCAATGTATACTGAAAAATTTCAACCAAATATGTTTCCACTAAAAAGTTCCACCAAATATCATAGGTTATAATGTTCCCGAGTTTTAGATCCTTATAGTTCGAACTTATTATGATGGAAGTTCTTATTTGTGGAGCAGATTCTGTTCGCCAACTTCAAGGACTTAATAAATCAAATATGACATATGTAAGCTCTTTTTTTATGGATTTTTATTGTAGATAGATAATTTTTTTAAAGAATTATGACAATGGTCCATAATAATCGTATTTTATATTTTTGCAGGATGAGAAAGAGCAAGTTGATGGCTAAGTTGATGTTGGAGTAAAGTTAATGATGAATGTTTTGTTGGAGTAAAATTTGAATAGTTGTTGTTGTTG